CCTATAAAGGAATCTGTGCTTGGAGCACTTCATTCCCAGCCTTAAATTGTGGTGCCCAACAGCTGGAATTGTGAGGGGGAGCAGGAATGGTTTCCCAGCAGGGTTTGCTGTGGGGGCCCAGGGAGGGTATCCCTGTTAATTCCCACTTTGGAGCCCTGTGAACCTCCACAGCCTGGGTAAAGATGTGGTCTTGCCCAGAACAGAATTCCCCTGGTGCTGGCATGGACCCACCTGTGGGTGCAGGAAACATTTAACCCAGCAGTGACAACCCTTTTTTTTATTTTTATTCACATACATGATGAGTTCATAATGAAGCACAAATCTTTTAGCTCCAGTGAATTTGCTTCCTTTAAAAATTCCCTTTGCAGTTGTGCTGCAACTGTTTATCTGCTTTTAATTTTCCTTTTTTTTTTTTTTTTTGCTTTTTTTCTGTTCTTGTTATTTTTAAATGAACTTTCAGATGTCATTATTTCTTCGAGGCTGGAGTGAAATGAGAAAGTACCTGAAAGGGTTTAGGGTGCCAGCCTAATCATTGAATCCGGCCTTGCTGCCTGAAAATTTCAAAGCTTTAAAGCCTTGAAAAGGGATTCAAGTGGAAGTGGTGACACGTAGCAGCATAAATAATTATCTTTGGGCCCTTTCACCTCTGAATTCTTTTTTTACAGCGTACAGAACATGGTCTGAAGAGGTTAATAAACGCGCTGCCGCAGAGTGCTTACAAAATTAATGCAGCTGCCATGGATCTGGGGGGCTCCCTGGGAGTGGGGCTTTGCTGCCTTCCAGCTCTCCCAGAGAAGCAAAGAATGAGCTTGCTGGGGTGGTGCAGGTGTTGGGCAGTTTTATTCCAGCCTGGAGCAGCACACAACGGAGCATCCACCGCATCCGCGGCTGCTGCAGCACTCCCAGGCCTCCGCTTTGTCCTTCCCTGCTGATGGTTTGGGAGGGTTTTTTAAGGGATGTAGCCAACTTGTTTGTTTTTTTGAATTGAGTTCATCAAGCCTGGAAACCAACCTTCCCTGCACGGGCAAGGCTGCAGGAACCTCCCTGGCAGGTCTGCTCGCAGCTCCATGGTTTCCGTGGCTATCCCAGCCGCCGTGGGCTGTGATGGAGAGAGATTTCTCTTTTAAAGGCAGGAAGCCCCTTTTTCCCTCCACACCCAAAATCCCTGAGTAAAGAGCAAACCAAGGCTGTAGCTGGTGTTGGTGCATCACCTTTGATTAGCTTGCTGGTCTCTGCAATGTACCGGGTTTGGAAAAAATTTAAAATTTTTCAGGGGCGCTCTGTGAAATTTTCAAACGGATTTTTCTCCTGGATACTTGATGTACCAAATGCTTGAATTTAAGTACAAATATTCATCTAATTTGGAGTCATTTCCAAAGTGGGATTTGGATCTCTTAGACCTCTTATTAAAGCGAACAAGTGCTGGAAAACACCTCTTCTGCAACAAATACAGCTTTCGTTTTTCCTTAAAATACTTTAGTGTAAAAATGCTGAGTGTGAGCTGCCCCACATCCCTGGCTCCAACATTTCTCCTTTTGCAGCAGAGGTGTCACAAGTGGGAAGTCCCTTACCCACTGTGCTAGCTGGGGGTGGATTTATTTAGGATTCCAAAGCCTGTGCAGCGCAGCGATCCATTCCCAGCTCGTGTTTTTGGAGACTCCACAGCCGGATGAGGGATGCTCAGCCCTGCCCCTGGCACCTCTCTGAGCAGAGGATGTTTTGTCCCCGTTCCCTATGGCGCCTGGAGCTCACCCCACTTGTTTACTCGTGCTGCTAATCCCAAAAATAAATGCTTGCTTTTGTTTGTTTGTTTGCAGGCGTACGGCCCCGGGAGGCCCTACCCGCTCCCGCATCCCGCAGGAAGGTACAGCTGGAATTAGCTCCTGCCTCCTGGTTTTATTTTTTAAACATGGAAAACGTCCGGGCTTTTTGCTTTTGTTCTTTTTATTATTTGTGGGGTGAGGGGGAAAAAAAAAAAAATGAAATTGTTAAGCACCAGCCCTGTAGTTTTTAAACGGATGCCTGTTTTAAATGTGCACATTTCTTACGGACCTGATGATGATTTTTTGGGAGGGACTGGGAAGAGCGGATTGCCGTCGGACGAGGTGGGAGTGCTGCGTTGTCCTCCTTACAAATCCAAGCTGTGCTGGGCGCTGCCTGCCCCTCTGAACTCCAAACATCCTCTACTCCACACACAAGAGCCTGAAAACAGACAAGGGGTTGGAAAGAATGCCCAGAAATGGGATTTTATGGACTCTGGGGGCAGACCCAGCAGGCAGCCGGCGGCACTGAGAGAGAGACACAGCCCTCAGCCCTCGCTGCTCCTTGGCAGGTGCTTCCTTCGGTTTCTCGGACTCTGGAGTAAAACATTTCAACTTTTTTTGGATGTGTGCCCGTTTCTGGCGTGGGTTTTGTCATGGCATAACCAGGCAGGGGCCGTGGGTTTGTCTGTTTGATACCTAATTTAAAACGGCTGCGAAGGGCAGGAATTCCATTCGTTTTTAGCACTCTTTCTAGGGATTTTCTGTGTGAGTGTACCAAATCAGTAAATATTTTTATTTGCTTTATAAAGTGGCTTTTGAAATTCTGAGCAGTGGCGTGTGGTTAATTTCCAGCCCCCTCCAGAGCGTGTTTGTATCTTTTACCTGCGTGCACACGTTCCTGTTGATTTATTGGAAAATAATTTTACCCAACTTCTAGCATTTAAAATCTTTGTTTAATAAGAAAAAAATATTGAAATGAGGAGAGTATCCAGTTCAGCTTTCCCTTTGGATTTTTCCATTAAATCCAGGTATTGTGTAAATCAGCAAAGTTCCCAGCCCCGCTCTGGCCCTGACTCCTTGGTGCTCCCTTCTTTCCAAACATCCAGGTGTTAATCACCAGCAACTGGGGGGAGAATGCCCTGACAGCCCCGTTTAACTTGGAAGGAAGAAATCAACCTGGATTCATTATTTTCAAGTGATGGAAGGTGGGGCAGAATCCCTCATTGTGATGCAGCATTCCCGGGGCTGGGAGCCACCAGCCCTCCCCAGGGCCTTCTCCCATGGCTGGGAAAAGAGTGGGGTGCTCAAAAAGAACCATTTTGCTTTTCCAGCAGGACAAAACCAGCTCTGAGGGTGAGTTTTCTTGGGAATGGGCTGGAGGAAGGAGTGGGGTGGGTTGCCTACATTCCAAAGGTGGATGGACCCGCGTGCTGGTGGCTTTGTCCCTTGCTCTCATTTTCTGGGGCACAAAAAGTCTGGGTAAACATTTAGGGAGCTGCTGTGGGAAAGGCTGATCCCTGCAGGCTTCAGTTTGCCCAATCCTTCACCCCTTGCAGTGTGAGTGGAGCCAGCCTGGGCCCTGGGAGCTGCGCTGCCCACTTGGAGCTCTGCTTGGAGCAGCGTGCTGGCCTGGGGCTTCCTTTCCTCCTCTGGGATGCAGGACCTGGCTGGGCAGCACCGCCTTCCTGGGGCTCTGCTGCAGTTCCCCGTGCCCCCAGCTGCTGGGGAGCCTGGGGGTCACCCTGGGACAGCATCCCTGTGCAGCTCCTCAGGCTGCTTTGCTCACAGGTAACATTTGGGGTTTTTCCCCAGGCTGGAGCTGAGCCCGATATATCCCCTTGGATTTAACAGAGTTTGAGGGGGAAGCCACTTACCAGGCTGGGCTCAGTCCCACCCCAGAATTTAAGTACAAATACACATCTAATTTGGAGTCACTCTGGGCCGTTTCCCGTGGGACCCAGCAGGGAGAAATTCTCCATCATGGAAAGGGGAGGGAGCCAGCGAGGAAAGGGATCTCTTTCCAGAAGAACGGTGGAGATTCCCTTCCCCTCCAGGCTCCCACATAAGGCTTGGGGACAGGTCCGGGACTGGGTCTGTGGTCTTGCAGAGGCCAAAATCCCGATTTTCCATATCAGAATCGTTCTTTCATGGCACAGCCAGGAGTGGAGCAGCCCCGGTGCTTCCCGGGGCTGGGGTTCAGCGGGTCCCCCAAGGATGGGGGAGCCTGGCAGAGGCGGGAGGGATGCAGAATTAAATCCTTAGCAGCCAACAGGGAGGCAGCAAAAAGGGGATTTTAAGCTTGTCCTTCAGTCCGTACACCGAGAAAGAAGCAGCCGAGTCGTGAGAACAAGGCTTCCTTTTTATTGTTTAAAATAAAATTAAAATAGAAAATAAAAGAAAGAAAAATTGCCGGAAGGAGTCCCGAGGAGCGTTTCCCGACGTGCGGGATTTCCTCGGCCAGTGGCGCGGGGATGAACCCCGCTCCGGCTCCGCGCATCCCCCGGCCCCGGCTGCTGCGGGGTCCGGTCCCGGCGGGAAGCGGGGTCCAGCCCCGGGGATCCCCGGGCCCTCCGTCACCTCCGCAGGGCTCCGAGCCAAGGGCCGGGGGCTTGAGGCGGCTCCGCGGGGCGCGCGCCCCGTCCACGCACGGGCATTCGCTGACTGCGCGGTATTTAATAACAACAACGAGAAAAACGGGGTTTTCCCCTTAAATCCGAGCACCGGCGCTGCGGGGCTCTCCTGCCGCGGCTCCAGCCTCAACTGAGCTGCCACCCAAATTTACCTCGGATAGAGATAAGAACGGGATGGCACCGTTCCGGGGCACCCCCACGGCGTTAATTCGGCCGCGATGAGCTGCGCCTCGGAGGGTTTATCGCGATATGCGCCGGGGCTCCCGGGCTGCGCTGCCGCCAGGGCGAGGGGCCGGGCCGGAGCGGAGCCCCGCGCTGCCCCGGCCGCCCCCGCCCCGTCGGGAGGAGCTCTCGGCGGCCGGGACACGGACACACCGACACTCACACAAATCCACTCTGATTCACACTCACGCAAGCGCTCGGCGCTGCCGTCGGGGCCGTTTGTCCAAAAACAGGAGAGACTTAAAAAAAACTCGAAGGGAGGCCGGGAGGGGACTGAAGGTGGGGCGGCCGTCGCCGATCCCCGCGGGCACCGGGCAGGGCGGATCGTCCGGTGCCGGAGGAGCGGGGCACTCGGGGGGACACACACGGGACGCGCCGATTATTATTACCACGTCCTGCCGTAGAGCAGGTTGGGGCTGACCATGCCGCCGTTGTAGTCGACGCCGGCCGAGTCCAGGGGGGCCAGGGGAGCCACGGGGCCGTGCAGCGCCGGCGGGCTGGGCGACAGCTCCTCCAGGTCGGCCGCCTGCCCCAGCGAGCCGGGGTGCGGGTGCGCGGCGGGCGCGGCGGCGGCGGCGGCGGGGGCCGCGGGGGCGGCGGGCCCGGGGCCCGGCGTGGCGTTGCCCGGCGGCGGGCAGGGTTTGCCGTCCTTCACCAGCACCGGCACGGCCACGCGGCGCGGCGAGGGCTGCTGCTGGCACAGGCCGCCGCTGCCGCTGCCGCCGCCGCCGCCGCCGCTGCCGTCGGGGTGCAGCTGCTGCGCGGCCGCCTTGTCCTTGGCCTGGCGCTTCATCTTGTAGCGGTGGTTCTGGAACCAGATCTTCACCTGCGTGGGGGTCAGGTGGATGAGGCTGGCCAGGTGCTCCCGCTCGGGCGCCGACAGGTACTTCTGCTGCTTGAAGCGCCGCTCCAGCTCGTAGACCTGCGCCTGCGAGAAGAGCACCCTCCTCTTCCTCCGCGGCGCGGCGTGCAGCGGCACGATGGCCTTGGCGCCCTCGGCGATGCCGCTCAGGCCGCCCATGCCGGCCACGTTCATCCCCGCCGACGGGCCCATGAACCTGGAGACTGAGCGGGACGGCCTGCTCAGCGCCCGCCCCGTCGGGGCCGCGGCTCCGCTGCCCCCGCGCCCGGCCGCCCCTCATCCTCCTCCTCATCCTCATCCTCCTCCTCATCCGCGCCCCCCGCGCCCGCACTTACTGCTGGAGTAGCGGGGATCCCCGCCGGGCCCGTACCAGCCGCCGCCCGCCGCCGCGCCGCCCCGCATCCCCTCGGGGTAGGCGGGCAGCTCGCCCACGTTGCCCAGCCCGCCGTTGCAGTAGCCCCCGACGGCGCCGTGCGGGAACTGCGACACGCCGTGGGGCATGTGGTAGGCGGCCGCGCCCGCGGGGACGTGCTGCGGCACGGCGGCGGCGGCGGCGGCGGCGGCGGGGGGCACGGAGGCCTGGCGGTACGGCCCGAGGGGCGCGCCCAGCCCGCCCGCCCCGTCCATGCCGCCGAACTTCTTGTAGCTCTCCTCCATGGGGCTGAGGATGTCGGTGACCGAGAAGGGCGTCGTGTGCTTGGGGCTCAGCGACATGGCGCGGCGGGGCGGGACGCGACGGGGCGGGCCGGGCCGGGCCGGGCGCTGCCGCCGGCACCGCCGAGCCGTCCGCGGCGGCGGCCACCAGCCCCGGGCGCCGGTAGCTCGCCGGTTCTTTTAGCCCGGCGCCGGGTTTACGCCAGACGCGGGGGGGCGGAGCGGCGGCGGCGGCCCCGGCCCCTCCCCGCCTCCCGCCGGCCCCCGGCCCCGGCCCCCTCCTCCCGGCCATTGTCCTGCGCCCGCCCGACGGCTCTTAAGCCCGGCCACGCCGGGGCAGCGCCCGAGCGGCTCCGAGCGGCCCCGGCCCCGCCGCCCTTTCCCGTAAGTACCTGCCCGCTCCCCCTCGCCCCTCGCCACCGTGCGCGGCCACCCCCGGGCACAGCGTCCCGGCGCAGAGCGGCTCCCGCCCGGCCCCGACGGCAGCACCGGGCAGCACCGGGCAGCCCCGTCCCCTCTCCCCGCGGGGATGCACCGATCCCGGTCTCGCTCCCGGCCCCTCGGAGCCGCCGCCGCGGGGTGCGAGGCCAGCGGGGACCCCCGCGGCACCGGGGCCCCTTTAGGGCCGATGCTTCGTTTGCGGTCGCGTTTTGGGGGTTTTTTCGGTCGTTCTTCGTTTGCTCGTTTGTTTTGGCGCAACGAAAGGCTCTCCTGGAGCAGCCCGAGCCCGCGGGCCGGGACCGGGCTGGCTGCGGGACTCGCTCCGCCGCCCCGGGCAGCGGCTGCGGGGCTCCTGCACTGGCACCCCGCGCCCGTCGGGGCCGCTGCGGGGCTGAGCGGGGTCTCTGCCGGGCTCAGAGGCCGGGGCGCAGCCAGACCCCGCGGCCGGAGCTGTGCCCGCATCCCCGGGCCGGGCACCGCCGCGACGGGGCGGGCGCAGCCGAGCGCGGTGGGCGCGCCCGGGGAGCCGCGGGGCTGCGCCTTGCCCAGAAATTGGTAAAACTGGGGATGTTCAGTGAGCAGCATCCCTCCGGAGCGGCACCGTTCCCGGGGTGATGCCGCTGTTCGCGCACGGACTCCGCTCTGCGGGTTTTGGGCAGCCAGGGATATCCCACACTCTCCAGACTGGACCGTTCCCGTCTCAATCCCCATCTTTTTCCTGATCTTTTTGGAGGGAAGGCACCCGCAGCTCTGCGGTGATTGTTAAAAATAAAAGATAAAAGATCGGAGCGGGCGCAGGTTTGAGTTTTAAACTTTGTGCTCCACGCTGAAACTCTGAGACCCCAGCGAGGGTCAGGAGTTAAACGGGTCCCGAATCTCCACGCGCTGCCGTCCAAATCCCGACAGCTCTGTTCAGTTGCAATATTCCCACCGTTCGGGCAGAATTCCTGGCACCTCCATTCTTTTTTTCCCCTGTACCTCTCTTCTCCTCCCTTGCTCAAAAAAAGAAAAAAAAAAAAAAAAGGAAAAAGAAAAAGAAAAGAAAAGAAAAAGCCTCTTTACATCCTTGTGGGAGCAGCACAGGGGATGCCCCACGCGTGGGGGCATTGCTGCCCCTCAGGGCAACCCAGGGTGGGACACAGCTCTGTCCCTGGGGTCGGGGCCCCAGCACAGCCCCCGGTGCCCACCAGTGTCACCAGTGAACTGCTGAACCGTGTCTGAGCCCAGCTCTGCCTTCATCAGAGTCTTCCTCCAAAGGCTGATCATTTTATTATTTTATTTTATTTTACTTTATTTTACTTTACTTTTTAACCTTTTATTTTACTTTTTATTTTAGTTTTTTATTTTACTTTTTTATTTAATTTTACCTTTTTAAACTTTATTTTACCTTTTTTAACTTCATTTTGCCTTTTTTACTTTATTTTACTTTTTAACTTTATTTTGCCTTTTTTAAACTTTATTTTACCTTTTTTTACTTTATTTTACTTTTTTACTTTTTCTTTATTTTTCTTTATTTTTCTTTATTTTTCTTTTTTCTTTTTTTTTATTTTTCTTTACTTTTTTCTTTACTTTTTTCTTTACATTTTTTTCTTTACATTTTTTTTCTTTACATTTTTTTCTTTACTTTTTTTTTCTTTACTTTTTTTTTTCTTTACTTCATTTTTCTTTACTTTTTTACTTTACTTTTTTTTTTTTTTACTTTACTTTATTTTTCATTTTTCTTTACTTTTTTTACTTTGCTTTTTTTTTTTTTTTTACTTTACTTTATTTCGGCACCTGTAGTTTTCACTCCCTGCTGGAGCAGGTCCCCTCCTTTCTGGGACTCACACTCCAGGATGGAGCTGCTGAAACCTCCCTCCAAGGGAGCAGCTTGGCAAAGCAGCAACCCTGCCCTGGGGATGGATGGAGATGCATGGATTGATGGGATGGATGGATGGATGGATGGATGGATGGATGAGAGGCAGAGGGTGGTGTCCCTGCTTCCCTCTGGGAAGGGAGAGGCAGCTCCTGGTGCTGTAGGGAGGATTCCCTGCAAGCCACTGGGGCATTTGGGGATCTCCCCGAGGCCTCAGTGCTGTTTTGGGGTCAAAGCAGGCAAAATGAGGTGAGGGGCTGAGAGGGACTGGCCCTGTTTGTGTCGGACTGGCCCTGTAAGCCGGGATTTTGGGATGTGGCACCAGCGAGCTGGTTTGTAGGGACTCAGGGGACAGGTGTGTCACCAGCCCCTGCTCACACCCAGGACCCTGGACTGGGCTCCTGGAGCATAGGGAAGAAAATCCAGCCAGGGTGTCCCGGGACAGCAACCCAGGAATTTTCCCACATCAGTGATGTTTGGGATAAAAAGCATCGCATAATTTCAGTGATGGGTGTAAAGAAAATCCTTTTGATGTGACAAATGTCTCACAAAAAAAACCCCCGCTAACCTTGAACTCTTTCTCGCTTTTGGAGCGTGTTTTTCTAAGTTAACCCTCCATCACCTGGAGGTTCCACAGAAAACTGGACATTTTTTCCTTCCCGACCCTGGCAGGATCAAGCTGCAGATTCCAAGGGAAGTAGTTTAAAAGCAAATTAAAAAAAAAACCAACAACAACAACAACAGCAAAAAAAGCCAAAACAAAACCAAACAACCAAAAAACCCCAAAAACAAACAAACAAACAAACACCAAAGAAAAGAAAACAAAGCAAAATTACAAACCCTTAAACAAACAAAAAAAAAAAAACCAAAACAAAAAAAAAAACCCACCACCAAATACGTAGAAATTGCAAAAAGCCAAGAAGCCAGACTCTTGGGTCTAATTTTTGGGGGTGATTTTCCCCGCTCCCTGATTACCCCCGTTCCGCCGAAGGTCGCCGGGATGCCGGGCTGTGCAGATGTGATTTCCAGGAGTGCAGATGTGATTTCCCAGCCCGGCTTGCCTCCCGGATGATAATGACACACTCGGGGCTCATTTCCACACGCAAGTTGTCCTCTGCCGTGCCAGCCCGTGCCTGTCACAGCGGAGCTGCTGACCCCGGTGCGCCACAATTGACACGGAGATGGAGCCTGATTTTTTGTGGGGGGGCGTTTTTCAATAATCCAGTATAAATGCTAATTTATTTCTCGGCCCGAAAAGCGATGGTTTCCTCTAAATAATCAGCGGTGGCCTCTCTCTCTCAGCGCTGTGGTGGCGGCTTGCCTCGGTTCAGCTCTCACCAATAATTTGCAGAGATTAAAAGGGTCTCGGAAACGGAGGCTTAAGGAATTGCTTTCTAAAGACGTGGCGAGATTGGGAAAGGAACCCGGGGTTTCCAGCGCACTCTAAAATCATTTCCACGTAAAACCCCCGGAATTAGGGAGTTTGAAGTGGCGCTAAATGGGCTGTTCACGGGCAAGGCGAGAAATTAACCCGGCACCAACCGGGACACCGCGGCCGCCGGGGAATAAAATCGAGTCTTGAGCCGGGAACTGCGGGCTGGGATGCCCGAGGGATGCCCGGCAGGAATGCCCATCGGGAATGCCCATCGGGAATGCCCACCGAGACTGGCACGGCCACTGCAGGACACCCTGTGACAGGTCTGGTCTACCCTAAAATCAGATTTAGTAGGTCCCTGCCCACCCAGGTCTTTACATAATTGATAACTTTCATGGCATGATGTTTATCCTTGTGGGTGTAGGTTTTCCTTATTGTGGCTTTTTTGGGATAACCACCGTCCCCACAGCAATAAATACATTGGTCTCACACAGCCTTCCCTGGAGTTCCTGCTTGCTGGACAGATGTGTTTTCCCGTGGGGTTTGGGTGACAAGGCAGCTTTCATCCTGCCTGTGGAAGGGGATGTTTGTAGCTACTGAGCTCCCAGGGAAATGCCTTGTTTCCTCAGATCCAGCTGGGAAAGGTTTCTGGAAAGGGAAAAGAGTGTGGACGGGAGCAGAGCAGGTTCCAGTGCAAGCAGCAGAGCTGCTTTTAGGGTTATCTTAATTATTGAGGTGGCAAGAAATACTCTGTGGGATATCCCTGAGGCATCTCCTCCAGCTTTTCCTCAGATCACAGAATGCAGATGTTTCTCTGGCACCACTCTGTGCCTGGATCCCTGATCTCAGATCCCTGATCCCAGGTCCCTGATCCCTGATCCCTGATCCCTGACACCTGCCCCATCCCACCTGGCAGCAGCGTGTGCCACCGGCTCCTTTGTGCTGGCCCCACTGCCTCTCTCCTCTTTATTGAGGCTCTGTTTTTCATTCCAAAATGTTTTCCCAGTTTCATTAGTGGGAATATCAAGGCTGGCTTTCCCTGGGGCTGCAGCATGGGTGAGGGAACACCAGGAAAATTTGGGCTCCTGAGTTACTCCCAGGTTTAAATTCCCTCCTGGTTTGTGCTGCTCGTGACGGCTCCTGCCTTTGGAACGGGAGCCCTTCCACATGGTCGATGTTTTCCCATGGGTTTTACCTGTGGGATCACCATGGAATTCCTGCCTGGTTTAGGATGGAAGGGACCGGAAGGACCATCCTGTGCCAAGCTCCAGATCAGGTTGCCAGGGTGCCGCGCAGCCTGGCCCGGAGCACTTCCAGGGTTATCCAGCATTCCCATGCTCCTGGCTGCTGGGTTCAGTGCATGTCCAGGACACTGTGCTGCTGCTGGGGACT